AGTGCATCAATCCCCAATGATGTGGATTTGGGCAAATCACTAACTAGAGCTTTGAACTACCATATCCTTATCTGAAAAATGAAAATATCTGAAAAATTTTCAGAATCGATGAATTATACCAATTATCAGAGCTAAGGAAAACCAACTAGAATAAAAAAGGTTACACTTAAATATACTGTAGTAAAACTGTAGAATATCAAAGGAAAACCTAATAAAGAGCGTTGAAGACATTGTAAACAAAAATTAGTCTGATTGACTGGATCAACAAAAACAACAGAAACCTGTAAGAGTATGGCTGAAAGAAAGTTAAAATAAATTTTTATTATATTTGTAGTTAAAATGTTCATTAAGATGGTGGACAAAGCAAAGATATTTTTTTGAGACAGAGAGCAGATTCTTACTCATTCTCTCCTCCCTCACGGACAGACTCTTGTTTTTATTGGGGGTGACTATGTCCTTAGACAGAAATTGCACATCCCAGCATCCTCTGCAGCTGGGAGAGCTATGTAGTAAGTTCTAGCCACTGAGGGAAAAGATCAGATGCAGAAAGGATTTCTAACGATGTTGGGAATCACTGGTGCCCTGTGTTTCTGCCCTGTGCACTGCTCCATGTTGCTCCCTCGTGATGATGAACTGGGAACTTGGTGGCTGAAGGGGATCCTACCACTCTGAGGCAAAGACTGAGGAAATGACACAAACCTCGCCCTGTGAACACGCCCACCTCTGCACTTTGTTACACAGGCTTTGTTTTTGATATGTCTGTAGTACGCTTTACTTTGATTTCAACTCTACAAATAAAAGAACATTTAGAATTTAAACAGAGGTAGCATATATTCTATACAGTAGGAGTAAAAATACGTTATGACAGAAGCTAAGGTTAGTAGAAACTGCAGTTTTCTTGTGAAGAATAGCAAACTGCCAAGAGGTTCTGAAAATCCTCTTAGAATGAAAAATAAAAGTGTACGTAAACACTTACGGGCTGACCACAATGGCAGTAAATGTCACAGTCTTAATTCTGGTTTCATAAAAATTTTAAAGTTTTATTTAAATCATAACTTAACTATGCTTACGAGTGACTTGTATTTATCCATGAAGTGAATATATTTCATCCTTAAATGAAACATACACACCTTTACTAAAAGAATAAGTCACTATTTAAACTATAAATGTATACATATTGTGGCACTGTAATTACTTTTATATATTAGAAACTATTTGTATTTAGCAAAAAATAGGCCTTAGAAACTATTTCAGTGAGTTATAACTGAACACAATGCTATTTGTTATAGACTGAAAACTGAAGAAAACTTGATTACTAACAAAAATATGACTGTCTATAGAAAACGCAAGTGAATCTACAGTCACATTTTTAGAAGTAAGTGGTCAGCAATGTATCGATACAACATACTAAAATTGACTGTGTGTCTATATCCCACCAATGAACCTTTTAAAAAGGTACAACTTACAACAGTAACACAGAGTACAAGGCATCTTGAACTAAAGCTCATGTAAGACATACAGCATCTTTATGGTGAAAATTTTAAACTTACTGAAAGCAATTAAAAAATTCTAGTAAACAGAGAGATGAACTATGTTTTATTGATAGGAAGACTCAATTCCATATAGAAATTTTCTTCCCCAATTATTCTGTTCTCCCCAAACAACCTATAAATTAAACATAATTTCAATTAAAATTACAGTGGAAGTGTGTGTGTGAGAGAAGTTTGTCAGGCTGATGCTAAAACTTATGAAGAGCAAAAAGTCAAAAATAGCCATGGAAATTTTGAAGAACCAAGTTGAAGGACACAACCAACCACATTTCAATGTTCATTATAAAGCTACGGTAATTAAGGCGATGTGATATCAGTACCAGGAGACGAACGGAGGTCACGGGAACAGAACAGAGAATCTAGAAACACACCCACGAAGGTGAACACGTATGGCGCACTGAAAACCGCTGGAGAAAGTATGATAAACGATGCTAGGGCAACTGATTATCAGTGAGGAAAAGAAATGGATCTCTAACTCATAGCACACACAAAATCAATTTCCAGTGAAATAAAAGACCTAAAATAAAATATAAAACTAAAATATGAGAACATCTTTATGACCATGGGGAATAGAAAGAGGACTTAAGACGCAAAAGCTATAAACCTTAAAGAAAAAGATTCATAAATTTGACTACCTTTAACTTACCATAATCTGTGCCTACGAAAATGCCATAAACAAATGGAAAAGGCGAAGTACAGCCAGGGAGATGGTCATTAGGGTCTGAAGAACTGAGGATTCATAAGGAATAAAACAAATTAGCCCAATGGCTAATGGGCAAATGGAAGTAGTAACCCAGGGACGAGGAAAGCGCATGACGAGTAACTGCAAAAGGAGGCTTTCCCTCACCAGCGGAGTCCACAATGATACTACGGATGCTGATCGAAGTGGCAAAATGATTAAATCTGACCACACCAAGGACAAGGTGCGGACACGGAGCACGGGAACTCCTGCGTACTCTGGGGCGAGGACACACTGGAATAGCCACTGTCAGAGCAAATGGCAAACCTAGCAGCAGTGAGGATGCACTTACCTAGGACACAGCTATTTTACTCTCAAGAGAATACAGCCTAGAAAACTCTTGTACCAGACATGGCAACCAGTGTTCACAGTAAACTGTTACGAAATAAAATACTGTAATCTAGGTAGCCGATACTGATAAAGATTCTGAGCAATGGGCACGTAGGCATCTTTCACACTTTAAAAAGAGACTGTGATGGGAGGTATTACGAATTTAAACTAGTACATCAGACTACCGTTAGAACTCATGGTGCCATATTTCAGGGCAGGTGTAGACCGGGAGAGATCGAGCCTCATGACCACCTGGGGGAGACTCTGATTTGCCTTCTTACAAGGGCTTACGCTCCTTGACTCAAAAAAGTAGCGGCCGCCAGCTACGTTACTGCATCTATGTTCTCTGCCTCCAGGCCCAGCCCCATCCAGTCACCCTGTAGGTGTGACTGACGGAATGACACTGACCTCAGGGCTGTGCTTTCACAGACAATGATGCTAGGTACGCAGGGGCCCTCTCTTCAAGTCAACGCGGTGTCATTTCCGTTACTGTCATTACTTTTTAATGAGGTCATATCACTAATCAGAAGACCCCAATGATCAGCACTTTTACCACAGATAATTAATGAAACGCTATGTCTCAACTCTGTTGCTCTGAATATTCCATGAAGTTGCTGTTTACTTATTTTCACAAAGTTGTAGAGAAAGGAATTATTTCAAAAGTCAAAGCAATCTGTAATTACGTAAATAATTAACAGGGTTCAGCATTACAGCAAGATCAAAGAATTGTCACAGGCAGGAAGGTGAAAAGCCCTACCTGATTCAGGCCAAAGGCCCGGTTCCCAGAGAAAACTGTATTGTACAGATTAGGGTGTATGCATCACTGGGGAAATGGGGGACCAGAGGAGGTTCTAGAGAGCCCCAAAGAATTGTGCCCAACCCTGTGACTCTTTCCTGTTACTGGGAGATAAAGGAAGCGGAGGGTCCTGCCGTATTGCCAGCCCTCCTCTCCGCTTTGCTCAGGGCTCCTGTCTTGGTGCCTGCCCTGAACGGCGAGGTCACTATCAGCTCCAGGAGGAAGGTCACCACTGCATGGACTGGACTGCGTCCTTGGAAAGAATGGGAACTCCAAAGAGTACAACTGTTTTAGGCTGTTTTCAAAAAAAAGATTCTACTGGGAGCTGGTGTCAGGTCCAGCTAACCAGTCTCAGAACTTGTCACATATTTCTTTCCCAGTGCACAGAAATATGTGCACTGGGAAAGATCTGTTCTTACCACACTTTCAAATTCTGGTGAATTCTCCAGACATCTGCCTTAAAATATCTCCAGTTTTTTTCTAATTGTTTTAGCAGTGCCACATAGAAAGTTCTTTTAACATATATTTGTATCTTCAAATTATTTATTTCTTGAAATATTTATTTCCTTATAGGAATCCGAACGTTTTGAGTGTTAGGAAAGAATGACTTTTTACAACCTTAGAGATATTGGTCAGTCAAGAAATAATCCCTTTGATAGTCAAGCGAAGCTCTTTGATTAAATTACTGAAAGAGACTTCTGAAAGAGACTAAAGTTGATTCATAATGCCTGATGATTTATTTTGGAAGCAGTATTTGTAGTTCACGAAACAGATTCACCTCATTTTTTGTCGTTTTCAAACCAGACGATTTTAGTATAACTAGGACCTAATACAATTAATAGGTATTGAAAAACATTTTAAAATTTAATAAGAGCAGCTAATGATAAAATCTCTGAGAAGAGCCTACTCCATTAGGTAGACCAGTTACCTCTCTGTTAAAGTAAACTAGGTTTCAAGTACACAAAATCATGAGGAAGGCAGAACAAAGAATTCTTAGATAGGACACCAAAAGTATGATCCATAAAGGGAAAAAACTGGACTTCATCAAAATTAAATTAATTTAGTTAATGAAATTTCAGAAAATGAGATAAGCTAAAGACAAAATATTTGCAAGTTGTATATCTGATAATGAACTTGTATCTGGACTATATATGGGAATTTTACAACTTAACTGAGAAAGAGAAATAACACCACTAAAATATGGACAAATGATCTGAATAGACATTATACTTCAAAGAAAATATACAAATGGCCCACAAGCATATGAAAAGACGTTTGACATCATTAGTTATCAGGAAAAAGCAAATAAAAACCACAATGAGATAATGCTTCATAACCACTAGGATGTGTATTAAGAGTAGATAATAACAAGTGTTGGTGAGGCTGTGGAGAAACTAGAACTCTCATACACTGCTGGTGGAAGCCTAAAATGGCAGAGTTGCTTTGGAAAACAATCCGGCAGCCACTGAAAGGTACAATGAAACACAGACCTACCTTATGACCCAATATTTTCATTCCTCGGTATGTGTCAAAGGTAAATTTAGAACAGAAAGAAAAACTCCCTTTGTACAAGGGTTTTACTTACTGAGGTTCCACTTGAGGCCAGTTGTTGTCACCCGATTGCAAGGCTGTCCGACAGGAATAAGGCCACACCAATCACCCTCCATTCCCGTGTCCACGTGCAATCTGTGCTTCCCCTGAAGTGGAGAAGGAATGATTGTTAAGACCCAGAAGAGAAAGGAAGGGGTGTTAATGGGCATTGAAGACCTGGTCAGATACACCAGGCACCATCCTAGGAACCTCACACGGTTTATCAACTTAATCCTGATAGCAAGTTCATGTAGTATACGCTGAATAATCCCAGGACCTTTCACCCGACTTAATCTCAGCAACAATTTTACATGGTTGCTTTTGTTATTACTTTTACGTATGAGAAACTTGAAGCTTACAGAGATGAAATGTGTCCAGGACCACACAGATAACAAGGGGCAGAATCAGGGTTCCTACATGTCCCTACCTGTCAATTCCAGAGGTGAGACTGACTCCACATGCAGAAGATGTAGCGCTATATGATGCAGAATTCTAGGGTCTTAAACAGTTGTTCAAGTGTAATTAAAACTACTGGTTCCCAAGTAAAATCTCTGCTTTGAGAATCGGGATTCTAAATTTCAGCATTCAATGTCAACCCTAATAGTAGTTATTTAACCTGCTTCCCATATGCATAGCTGCTCTAGTGTGAGAAGTACTTCTACTAGGAAACAGGATCAGCCCTGAGGAGCTGGTATGTTTCTTCCATTTTGATTATGAAAACTTATATAAATTACCATGTTTTCAATTTTTCCTTTTATGAGGAGATTAAGTTAAATGTAATGCTTAATTGAGGCCATAATGTTTGCTTTTAAAATAGAATGCTTGGAAACAGAGTAATGATTTTCCGTTTCTGTTCTATTCATCATCCTTAGGGTAGATGGTCTTTATAGAAAGATACCGCAAGTCCTTATGGGAAAATGCCACGGCATGCACGCAATTAGTAACGAAATGAAAAAGTACTTTTCATAATTCATATATCTCAGAGGGAATAAGTTCCAAAAAATATTCTTTATTTTAATAAAATTTAAAGTATATTCAATATAGACATACTACCAGACTAAGGCAGCTAAGTCTCCTTTTACAATCATTTTGCTTTTGGTCCAACTATGCCTTTTCTACTGTGTTATAAGCTTCTAAGGAGACTTAGCTGCCTTATTCTGTTGTATAGAAGGCCTCGACGTACGAGTTGACTATCTTTAGTCAAAGGATTGCTTTTATTAGAAAAACAGTTCTCTAGATGAGGGGTCCCCAATCCCTGAGCCGCACACAGGAGGTGAGAGGCGGGCAAGCAAGAGAAGCTTCATCTGCATCTGCATCCGCTACCCAGCGCTAGCATCACCGCCTCAGCTCCACCTCAGATCATCAGGCATTAGATTCTCATAGGAGCACCGGTCCCTGGTGCCACAAAGGTTGGGGACCACTGCTAGATTACATATTAGTCCTTGGAATTTAATACAAATTCATTCAGATCTTTACTATCTGTATAATTCATACACATATATTCATATGGTAGGTTTTAAAATTCTCTTTGGACATTCAGTCAGAAGGTATAAACTCAATTAAAAGGGCTTAAATATATTCAAGTGCAAAGAAAAATTTCAAAGGAAATACAAAATACATTCTGGATTTGGCAATCACCATCGGGAGAACAGATAGATAACCCATGTAGATACCAAGCAAGGGATTAGATGTACCCAGAGAAACATGCGTGGACTGGAAACACAATGCATTGTGAAAACATAACGCATAGTAGGGAACAAAATTAGTGTAAATTATACAACTCACAACTTACCTACGTAAATTAAAATAAATTCAAACACAGTAAGATACTTTCTCTAAAAACAAAATTTTAAAAATATGTTTGTACACACTAACGTGTTTGCCTATAAGAAGGGTAAAGAGTATGGGAATGTGGGATAGGGATGAAAGAGAATCAATTGATCGATCAATCGATGCAGATTTTTGCTTGGGATCAGAGTGATCTGTGCCATGAACCAATGAGTGTAACTGACTCAATATTGAGAACTTATAAAACAGTAAACATGTTTCCTAGATACAAAGCAATATAAGACTTAGAAATTCTTAGACTCTTCTGAAGAACAAAATAGATGAAATATTCCAATAATTCTAAATAGCCATTAAAGAAAGAGGAATAACTGGAATACAGTATAGAAGAAACTGAAGAATGCAATAAAAAATAATCTCTAAAAAAATAATCTTTGATGATTTTATTTAGTATCAATTTAGAGTGAAAGCACAGAAGTCATTATCTAGTTACAGAAACTTTCTACATATCAAAGTATAAAAATTAAAAATTATGCTTTATTCGTCAGAAGGCCCACGTGAGAAAGAGAGTGGAAGAAAGTGTAGTGGCCCTAATTTTGTCATCATTTCATATGTATGCAAGTCAAGAAACCGTGCGTAGGTTGTAGAATTTTAAAAGGGGGATTTAAAAACTGCTCGTGGCCGGAGTAACTGGAAATATGGATACTATGCCTAAGCAGCAGCAGTGGGGCCGAGGAAGGAGACTTGAGATACTTCTCTTCGTCCAGCCATGTTATTCACGTACCTCCACGCTCGTGTCAGAGACAAGTTATTTACACCACTACACACGTGGAAGCTGTGATAAGTGCATGGAGGGCAAAGCTCAGAGAAGTAGGAGAGATAACAGATCAGGGACGTGATCAGGAGTAGGGCGGGGTAGGCAGAAGGCAAGCGAGGGGTTCCCTCAGGAGTGACGCTTGCGTGGGAACTGAAGGATGAACAGGAGTCAACTCTGAAGGGAGGACGAAGAGCTTTGCAGGCCAGGGGCGACATGTGCAAGGCCATACGGTGATATCGGGACATTCACTAATGGGGAGGAGAGGGTGGTGCACAGGGCAGTGAAACGAATGTGTGTGACATTGGAATGGTGAACACATGACTGTGCATTTGTTAAAACTCATAAGAGTGTATAACACAGTGAACTCTAATGTCAATTATGGACTTCTGTTAATAACGTATCAATACTGGTTCATCACCTGTAACAAACGTACCACACTAATGCTGGATAACAGGGGTCATGGAGAGAAGAGGGGGTATGTGGGAACCCAGTCTAATCTGCTCAGTCTAAAACTGCTCTGAAAATAAGGTCTGTTAATTAAAAAAAGTCTCTCAACGACCCTGCAGTTTCTCATCCATTAAATGAGACTGACTACAATGTGATGGCAGGTCTGAGACCTGTGTGAGCCAGATGGGACATACCACGCACAGAGGAGCACACAGCCGCTTCTCAGTAGCCATTACAAACTTTGCTTTTTTTTTCTCTCTTTCTTTTAAAAAACAGGGTGTTTTTGTTTGTTTAAGCTTCCTTAATTGCTGGGCATAAAATTTTTCCCTGATTTACACTGAATAGCTTGCCATCTGAATTTGAGTTCTGTTTCTCCTTACTACTTTTCATTATAGAAATAATTCTCTCTGAAGACTCAGATGATAAGTATAAATTATTCTCCACTCTATAACAAAGGGAGTTGATAAGAAAGGGTGCTGTGGGAATTCTGACTTGCTTAGAATCGCTCTGGCTTCAGTACCGAAGGAACAAGAAATGGGGCTTTTCATGTCACGGACCCCAGCCTATTAAGGTCCCAGGTCCCCCTCAGAAAACACAGTGTATCGGCAGGGTTACAAGTGACCCGTAGCCTCCGGGACGTCAGGCAGTAGAGGACGCCGGATGAGTGCAGGAATTTCCCAGATGGCTCTACCTGTCTGGGTAATGGTGTCTCTGACAAGGAGACCTTGTGTTAGGGACTTCTTCGTTCCTCATCACGGAGGGACCGTTTTATCCTCCTGTCCTTGGGCTGTTTTATTTTCACTGTGTTTCAGTTAATTCTGATCTTTTAATCGAAGACTTTCCACCCTCTCCTTGTGGCCTCCTGAATGGTTTGGTCATGGTCAGATCAACACATTAGTATGTGTGGGGCTCCAACCAACTGCAGTAAAGAATGATGAAGGCAATAAGATCAGCTCAATTTTATGTAAGCCTAACCTGCTCTAAAATTAAAATCTATGTTTTCTTCTTAGAGTTTTATGGTTTTGGGTCTTTGGTCCATTTTGATTTTATTCTTGTATGCTGTACTGTTTTGTTTTTTTTTCTTTTTTTTTTTTTTTTTTTTTACTGTATCTGTCCAGTTTCCTCAATACTATTTATTGAAGAGACTGTCTTTAACCCATTGTATATTCTTGCCTCTTTTATCATAGATTAATTAACCATATAGGCCTGGGTTTATTTCTGGGCTCTCTATTCTGTTACCGTGGTTTATGTGGCTATTTTTATGCCAGTACCATCCCGTTTTGGTTACTATAGCCTTGTAATATACTTTGGTATCAGGCAGGTGATACCTCCAACTTTATTCTTCCTTCTCAAGATTGTCGTGGTTATTCTGGGTCTACTGTTGTTCCATATAATTTTAGAAATATCTGTTCTAGTTCTGTGAAAAATGTCATTGATATTTTGACAGAGATTACATTAAGTCTATAGACTGCTTTGGGTAGTATGGACAATTTAATGATGTTAATTATTCCTATCCATGGCCATGGTATATGCTTCCATTTGTATCTTCTTAAATTTCTTTCTTCAATGTCTTATAATTATCCAAAATTACAATTTTTGATACAATTGTAAATGGGATTGCTTTCTTAATTTTTCTTTTTGACACTTCATTATTGGTGTATGAATATGCAACCAATTTCTAAATATTAATTTTGTATCCTGCTACTGTGCTGAATTCATTTATCAGTTATAACAGTTTCTTGGTGGAATCTTTAGGGTTTTCTATATGTAATATCATGTCATCTGCAAATAATGGCAGTTTTACTTCTTCCTTTACAATTTGAATTCATTTTTTTTTCTTCTGACTGCTGTGGCTAGGACTTCCAATATTGTTAAATAAAAATGGTAAAAATGGACATCCTGCTCTCGTTCCTGATCTTAAGGAAAATACTTTTAGCTTCTCCCTGTTGAATACAATGTTAGCTGTGGGTTTGTCATGTATGGCCTTTATTATCTTGAGATATGTTCCCTCTATTTCCAGTTTGCTGAGAATTTTTACCATAAATGGATGCTAAATTT